CCAGTAGTATATTACAACACAACGTCCATTTGACTGGTAGCAATCTACAGTATTGGGAATTAATCGGAAGTTACTCTGCGATGGATAACAGATATGCCATATTGGAAAGCTGCCTGAAACAACCTGCAAATCTATCATGATTAGAGAACTGGTGATCAAATTAGTGGAAAATTGGGCTTCAAAATAGATGGTTCGAGAAGCGAATTAGTTTTACTGGCGGCTTTGAAAATGAATTGTCATTTCTATGCATGTATGAAGCCAGAACGCACCAAATAACCCATTTATAAATCATTGTCAGTAAAATTTACACCTATTTGCACCCGCAAATGTCATTACAACTTGAAATCTAAATTGTAAACGAATTTCTTGTGTGGTATTGTGGTATTGAGTATTAAATAGTGAATGCCAGGGACATCATACATGGCAAGGGCAAGAGTTTATGTGGATAAGAAATGTTATGTCATTGTATAACAGGAGTTTTATTGCTGAAGAATAGTTGTCCTATTTCTCCAGAAATACATGACTGTATTTTGCCTGTACGCTAGTCAACTAGTTGCTTAGTGGGAAGTTTGAGAGCTTCAATCTGCCTTTGACACTTAAACTTGATGTAATAGTTAACACATTTGGTTCTTCATCATGATTTCTAACTGGATTTCTGAGAAAACAGGCTGTACACATAGGGGATCATGCATGACAAATTAATTTGTAACTGTTGATAGGCGTGCTGCTACTGTTACTATGTATACATCAGCAAGGGAAAAGCAAAACTTCCTCAAACTACTGTGGTGAAAACTTGGTCTGGCTGCTTGTTAGGCACGTGACATTTCTCACACAGTTTGTATGACTTTATTTTGTGCCCCCCTCCCAACCGACTGACCACCCACAGCTTGAAGTCACATTTTATGTGTCCTGTAACCTTGACAAAGGGAAATTGCCTGAGGTGGTAGGATGTGCTGTCATGCTTTGATGATCTGTTAAATGCTATATCAGTGTGTGTGTGGAGGTGGGTATTGGGCGCAGCCCTCATAATGTTTTGGCATCGGCCTGTGTTCCATTAGCCCAACTCTACATTCAGACATATTGTTGTAACATACTAGTAGCTTGAGTTGATTCAACAATAAGGAAAACGTAAAATTAGCTGTGAATTAGACAACTTTTACTGATCTTTTAATACATTTGTTGAATAAAATGAATTGATAAACAAGAAGCCATAGGCGACAATTCTCCGTGAAGTATTATATATTGCAACAAAAAGAAGTAGCCATTGGCGACAATTCTCTGTGAAGTGTGATAAATCGAACAAAGAAAAATTGTTTAAACGCGCGTCGGCTCAGTCATCTTAAGACGCAACAACCAATCAGAGATGCGAGATGCCTACACGTGACGCGGGAAGGGCGCGCGATGCCCGAAATATTTTTGCGTCAATATTCAGCGCCGTGATTCAAGAGATTAATACCCGGAAACAATTTTTTTCTTGTTTTGAACGCATTAACATGCATTTACGCTAATCTAGTATGATTCAGGGTTACTTTTTTTTTAACCTGCCATGGCCAGATTATCTAAAGATGTGTGTATTGTGTGTACAATCTATAGAAAGAGAAATGTACATCAGGTCCGATCATCCGATTTTCACGTTTCGGTTTTTTGGACTCGGTTCATGAACGTATTTTGGTTTGGCTCCTGGAATGTGCGAAAAAAATGACTCCCGGGACTGTCTACAGGGAACACTCGCACATTCGCGGTGTATCAGGACAGCGCGACTGGTCGTCATTAGCGCAGTAACAGTTGCATAAACGGACGAAACCATTTCAAAGAAATGGGGATGTTTCGAAAATAAGCATTTACTCCAATATCAAAACAGCTACGGTAAAAATAAAAAGACGTGCATCATCCCGGGCATAATGCAACACCACATGCGAAATTACACAGAAATGCGACGTACGGAAGAATGCGTTTTGGCTGCGAACATCTTCCAAAAAACTTGGCATCTCTTAACCATGTGCAAAAACATCTGGAACCACTTATAAAAACCACCCCGTATCTGCATGAACTTTTTTGAACCCCACTGCTATTCCAAACAACGCGTTTTTCTGGACCATTCCAATTCGCCTCGTAATTGTAGGGGTGCGTCTGCGATATTACATTGACCGCGAAAGCAGCAACGGCAAAAATACACATTCGTGCATCAACACGGGCATGCCCGCAGACGGCGTATAAAATTGCGTGCCGATTACACAAAGAGAACCCAGTGTTTTGACTGCGAACATGAAAAATCAGCCGATTACAACACTCCGTCCGGAGGTCCTGACCTCCTTCACGGAGTAATAAGAATTAATAAAGATGTTTTAGCAGGAACAGGGAGACCAAAATTTTGCCACGGTAAAGTTGCCCAAAGTATTTTGCATTGGTAAAATGAAGCTAAACAAGCAAAGTTGGAGTGAACTTTTCCCCTGTAAACACACATGATGTAATCTGTTGCTAATAGGCCAGGTGCTGAGGAAAGTGTCCTTGATGTAAAATCTCCGGAATGTGTGGCCGGAATTCCGAGGACCTGGAAGAATGAGAAGCTGTCAAGTTTGAGTGTGGCACGAGTGTGCTCCTGTGAATAGCTTCAGGGGCCCCAAACATCTGAAAACATTTGCATCAGACACAGACTAAATAGCTGAGGTGAAGTGTGCTCTTGTGTAGTCAACAGGCCGTGCAGATACACCAACTAGAGAGCTAGTTATCGATGGTAAACACAACTGGGATCATCCTTGTGGCCACTGTTGGCTTACAGATAGTCGTGTCCTATTACTTGTTTCAGCTTTGTCAAGACTTAAACGGTAGAATTTGATACTTTCTATAAGAGATATATGTGTGTTCTAGTGGATGATCTGATTGAATAACATATTCTTGTTCAGTTTCACCTATTAAGATTAATAGATGCACTGTATTTTCACAGAATTATAAGTTATTAACAATGTTGGGACCCCTTGCAGCTTACTTTTAAACTACAACTTCCTTTCAGACTGCAGATATATATAACTGTGGCATCAGGACTTTGGTAGAGGTCTGTGCTCTCCGAGATTTTTTTCCTTGTAAAGAAAAGGGCTTCGTTGTTTCAAGCAAACAGATACTCTACATCAGAATGGTAATCCTCAACCATACATATCTGTATGCAAGAGTTGTTACTAACCTAGGGAGGATGGGAATAAACTAAGTACGGGATTAGAGAAGTAACCCATTTGATCTAAAACATGCTCAGCGGTTTATTCCCATGACCTGATGATGAAACTGTTGCTCCAGAGTAACTGGCGGGGGTTTTGTGTTTTCCTGGCAGGCTCAGACATAGACAAATCTGTCCTCAGTAGATGGCATTGTTCGACCTAAGTGGGAACCATCTATTCTAACTCAGCAAGGAGAGCCTAATGGATCAGGCACATTAGTACGCTCATGGATGTGATTTGGCAAGGGAGTCTGACTTGGCTGTGACTCAAGGTTCCTCAAGCAAGCCCGCAACAAGATCTTGGCAATGCTGTCAAATTATTGAAAACCTATACAGGCTAGGGCAATGTCCAAGGGGTAGAGTGAGTGATCGCCTTGCATTTGTGGTGCTACCAACTGCTTAGCACTCAGCACTTTTGACAGACACTGTCAGAGAGAATGGGTCTATGGGAGTTGAATTTCCTATGTGGCCCAATGGCTTAGAAACAGAGATGGGCACTGCTAGTGCATACCGAATGGCGGGAAGGATTCTAGAGTAAACCTACAATAATTTCTTGGCAAAAATACTTTTGTTGGCAAAGGATTTGCCTAAATTTGCACAAAGTTGGCCATGGGTATGCTGCACCTTTCTGAAGTGTTTCAACAAAAAAAGATGAAATTGTTGTGCATAGATGAAAGATTTTTCATACTTGAGTATGGCATCCAGAAACATACAAGTCATTAATATCAGCTATGTAAGTTACCAAGTGCAAGTGTCTTTCTGCCCTTGGTTTGGTCGGACTAGTCTGACATTTCAAACTTAATTGCATCCGTACCGCACTCTTCACCGTTGCTGGTAATGGTGGCTGAGTTGTAAGGACCTTGCTTTGCCGCTCCATATATCATTCTCGGAACGGTGCCTCACTTAATAGAACCGTTATTGATTGTTTTGGGGTCCTTGGAGTTAGGTGGCATTTTAGATCTAATGGTAGATTGAAGCACCCAAGGGCAGTATTGGTATTTGCACTTTGATGCAATAGGTTCATGGTTGCTGAGATTCTAGTGAAGTTTCCAATCTGTTCTAGATCTTTGGCTGAATTAACTGAAAGGTTTCAAGACAGCCTCCAAGCACTTTGAAGATGTCTCCACATAGTGTGTTTTATTAAAAGTGTCTTGACTAATTTTTAGAGAATTTCACTGGTTTGATTGAATATTTTAAGGAAAAGTGGATAATTATTCTTTTGTGATGTTGGGAGGATGTTACGTATCATTTTAACCATTTCTGACAGAGGAAAGTTTATCATCAGAGTGAATTCAAGGCATACTTTTCTGGTCTTTGATATTCTAGATACCTTCTACTATTGTCCTTGTCTGATAATTTCATCCCAATTTAAACCTTGCCCTGGCCATGACATTCCTCATACATCTAATCAAAGAACAAACTTAAAAGACAAGAGCTAAGTAGGTTAACTACTTGCAGACAAGTGTGCATGCATCTCCTTAGGTCAGGATGCTGGAAAATCTGTTACACATTCAAACCTGCCAATAGGGGCGGACGTCTGTTAGAATCCTGGAGCAAAGATCATTAGGCTTTATCTTACAGCCGCAGGAGTTTACAGAGAGCCACGTTTAGGGGATTGTTACGGATTTGTCTGAACTTCTAGTTAGTTCGGCCAGCTTTGCCAGCAAAGGTTGTGGTGCAAGTTTTGCCAAACATTGTTCTCCAGTATACTGATATTTTGAAATAGTTTGACTTTTAGCAGAAGTAATGTACAGCTTTCACAAATTCTGACACACTTTCTTTTGTTTTCCAGGATTGATTGTGAAAGAGTCTTGAAACTGTCTTCAGTGCCAAGAAAAAGCTGTGACATTGTAGCAGGTAAGAAACTATCTTTTCTACTTTGTGTCATATGCTAGTATATGTTCGGTTTTATAATGGTAGATGTATACCAAGAAATAGCCCCGACTTTTAGTTCTTGATAACAATACGGTATGTCTTAGACTTAGAGTACAGCTTATAATGAAAAAATTTTCATATCTTTGTAGAAAGATCTAGACAAAATTTGAAGGAAACTTCTCTTCTTTGTAACTCCAAACAAAAGAGAACTATGAACAGATACTTAGTCTGTAACTAGTAAAAAAAAAACTGTCATGTCTCTCATGGTAGAAAAATCTAGAAAGGAGACAGCTCCTGAAGTTTTGACCTATTAATAACATCTTGAAAAAATTATACCACCTGTTTCATTGCTTTAGTATGTCCCCTTGTGGCTGTATGAGCTTATGAATGTTGGACACATGGAGACAAACTCATCCAAGCCTGAAAAAGTCTGTGAAAACTTTGCTTCACATTGGAAAACTTCCAAACTAAGGTTGCAAACAAACTGAGGTTAGGACTCAGAGGCATGCTTGGCTGCTATGTCTTTACTTCCTTATCCATCAGTACTTACTTCATAAAACACTGGAGCATTGTTGAGTTACCAAATATAACTGTACTGTGGTCCTGAAAGGAAAAGTCAGAAACTTAGACTTACGTAGGTGAGCATTATCTTTAGTGACTCAAAAGACCGAACCTTTTGGACTAGCCAGGAAAGAAAAAAAAATCAATGTCTGCTAAAATTAGGTTTTTCAATTCCAGAAGATCTGTAAGCTTGGATTTTATTGTGACACTGACAGTGAGATATGTACTGTAAGGAAAAGAATTTTCAGTTCCACATACATGTACAGATACTGTATAGTCTGTTACTGATTAGGTTTGGACTTCAGAATTGACTGAAAACCTTGCCCGTGCCAAGAATGGATTGAAGCGCCTGAGAGAGAAGAGCCACGTCTTTCCCATTACACGTGGACAAATGTGATATTAATGTTTCATGACAACACTAACAGGATTTAGTCCTCCATGTCCAGCTCTTTTACCCCGGTGTAAGCTTTCCTCCGGGTCCTGAATTTGAACGAGAACACTAATCAGAGCTAGATCTCCCGATGGCTGCGGCCGGTAAGAAACAAATTGCACAGCCGAATCATTCATGAGATGTTAGGATTGAATCTACAAGTCGGCGAGGGTCGACCTTTGAAGGGGTTATACGGAAGATAAGCTGGTTCTTTCAGGGGAAATCAAGATGGACGACCACTTGGGAATGCATCTTGAAGAGTGTGGACAAATTGAACCTACAACCTCTACTCCAATTTAAAACCCTGGATGCAAATGTGGGAAAGTCTTAAAAGCCCTCAAGGAAAGGTTTTAGAGTAGTACTTTCATCGAAAATCTACTTCAGGGCCATTTTTAAAAGGAGTGGATACATTCTGAAGTGGATTAGATAATAAAAAGTTCAAAGGTTTCGTAGACTGTATGTTCACAGAGATTACCAAGTTCATTTATAATGCACAGTTGAGATTCATGTACGTGCAAGCAAGACTTAGAAAAAAAGTCAGAGGACTTTCCCTGTGTCAGTGGTTTCATGTCATGGCTCTGCAACTGGCTTTTTTCCTATGGCCCAACGACTGATCAATATAGACACAGGTATACATCTTGATTATAAGTTATCAGGGAAAGGTTGCCCAAGTACGTGGCCAAGGCCTGAGTGCGATAAGACATAATGCGGTGATATAGTACCTTCAGTATGGTAAGAAATGTTCAGGAATGACTCTTAAGTCTAAACCTGGCTATGCTTGCTTGACTTCTTTGGAAGACAAATATCTCACTTTCTGTATAATGCAGTGGTGCTTTGATTTAACAAAGTTTGTGTTAGTAATTAACCACTGTAACAGAGGATATTAAATTCAGTTAGATGTCAGAACACCCACTAGAGTCTGTTGTTAGGCTCACAGCAGCTGTTAACAGCTGCGAATAAGAGCGAATTTCGTACAGTAAGCAAATGGTACACTGATCTGAGAAACACAGGTCCTTGCCAATGAACCCTGCCGGCCACCACAGCAGGTTTGAATGAGGCACACTCAGACTGGTGACTGAGTCAGGGGGCTGTTCTGTCTGGATTGAGTCATCCTTATTAGCCTATCCTCGTCTGTCTTGCTTTCTTCTGGCATCTTCTATTATCCCTGATCTCTGTTGAAGATGTTTGGGCCTCGCTCAGCCCAGATGTATCCTGTTTTGTCTGGATGTGGGAGACAAGTAATATTAAGGAGGATCTTCTTGAATGTAGGCCACGCGTAAAAGCGGCTTTTCTCCAGACACTGTTGATTAGAAGACTGTAGCGGCTGCAGTTCAGTCAAGATGAAAGGATGTCAAGCCCAGCCAAGAGTTTTATTTGTGGTAAAGTTTTGGAGATAAAGTTCAAAGATTGTCTTCTATCTTGGATTTGAAAGTTGTCCTATTTACAGTGACATAAATGGACATTGCCTCTCAGAAATTGTTTGTCTAATTGGTTTATTGTAGTTTATTGTAGAACAACTTTCCTTTAGCTGCCCACCCATGGGTGACAGCTATTCTTCCAGGAGAGGGTAAAATACATAACAATACACCAACATACAATTACATAAAGTTACATTACATACAGTTTATGCTTTACTTGCAGTGTATCCATCCATCTAAACAATACAATAAATACCAATACCAATATCTTTGAGTTTCCCTCGTAAGAGACCACAAATTTCCGTCTTGTCCAGCACCACCAACTGTTGACATTATTACCTCCATGAAATGTGTCATGGAGGTTATATTTTCAGTTGCGTTTATCTGTCCGTCCGTCCGTCCTTCCGTCTGTCTGTTGGTCAACAAGATAACTCAAGAACGCCTGGATGGATTGGTTTCATACTTGGTGTGTTGGTAGGGTGTGACGAAAACTGGAAATGATGAGATTTTGGTCCCCCTAGTGGCTTCCCTTGGTACTGCAGCGCAACTTCCGGTTTTGATATCTCGCGATCTGGACATGCTAGGGTCATGAAATTTTGATGGAAGGTAGCTCTCGTGCTTGGGAAGAAGTCATATGAGTTTGGGCCCCCTAGCGGCTTGTTCTGGAACTGCAGGGCACTTTCTGGCGAAATGTTTAAAAGCCAATAAGTCCAGACAGGAACAACATATTTTCATTATTTTGGGTGTGTAGGTAGCTGAGAGACAGATGTACATAATTAAATGTAAATTATGCAAATGAGGACTTTATTTGCATAATTAATGAGGAAATTCTATGATTTCGTAATGGTGAATGATGAGAATGTCATACTTGGGACATCTGTAAGTTAATCAAAAGTTAACATACATCACGATGCATATATCATGTTAATGCAGAGGTCATTTGAACTATTAAAGAAGAAATTTACATTTACATATCAAGATCATATTTCATGGAGGTATGAGATCTCGGAATTCTAGTTCTCAACCTTTTGTTGTCATGCTAAGTGATTCCGTCTTTCCGTTTTACCCCCAGGTTCATTTGCTCTTCCGGCGTTTGGTGGGTTTCTGTGTGGTCAGAGTTTGAATGTTGTCGTCTATCCGTATCTCCTTCCTAATTCTCAGTGTCTCATTGGTTCAATTCATTTTTTCCTGTGACAGAAATTATTGGCACCACTTTGTGGTCGATTAATACAATGTAATCCCGGCCAAGCAGATCTTTGGTGCCTGCAAGACATTATCAAATTTGCAGGGCAGTGTCTGTTATAGGCTGGCCAGTACAAGAAATGAAAGCCCGATAAAAATGCCTCAAAACACCTAAAAAATAAGCCAAATACTAAACCTCTGCTTGGAGAGTAGTTGATTGACATCATTGGGGAGAGGGGTTGCTGTAAAGGCAGTCAATTCTCAAGCCCCCCTTCCCATCATGTTTTAATTACTATGACACTAATTAAATGGTCTTACACCTTCTATTGATTAGTACACCCTTTCATAACTGTTCGTTGGCTTGTATCCAAGCTCAGAGACTGGACTATCCCACATGACTCATTGCTCCTTCCTTTGTTATGACATCTGTTCCCGTATCTATAACATTACCTGCCCAAGAGTACCCAAACGTGACACTATGTTTTATGTTCTTCCCTACAGACATATTCTTATACTCTCTCAGCTGCCTGCCCCGTTTCCTGTTTGTTCCGATTCAAAGTGGCTGTTGCTACCAAAAGTTCACTCAATTCTTCCCTAGAGGGGGTAGATTCAAAATGAAATACCTCCTTCTTTCCCTTATTACAAGCACAGCTGGCTTCTTGAGGAAGGCGGCTTGTGAGAAAAACGTAATGTTTTTGCTGACGTTGGTTTGTTGGCTTATTTGCTTTCGTGTTTTAGGACAACACTGTTCACATTCAAACAGTTTCACAGTTATAACATGGTCTGCAAAGTTTTCAAATTTCCAATGTATGCTGAAACTCATGACAATCTCTGCATTTGTGGCAGCCCAATTATTGAGGATGAGTCACTAGTCATCAGTCTAAACAAACAACATTTGGAGGTGGGAAGCAAACAGACACAAAATATATTGTGCGTACAAATGTGATCCATAAAATCAGGTTTATGTTGAGAAACTGAAAAGTAGAGGTAGTTACAAGAAGAACAGATCAGACCACCCAGTATCGATAGAAATCATCAGAAGTTAGACCAACGTTTTCGCCCACTGGAGCTACCATGGCGCGCTCACTTAAGCAACTGGAATGCCTTAAAAGAGTCATCGTTCATTATAGTCTCTGTCCACTGTCGGTGGTGTCCCACGCTTTAGCTGAGTCACTTCTCCTTTGTGTCTGTTATTGTGGATGTCTTCCTCACTTCCTTTAGACTGTAGTGTTTCATATGTGCTGTGAATATATAGATGATATTCACCTTTCCAGGCAAGCCTGTTCAGTGCAGTATATTCCTCTCTAAATCTGGTATGTACAGTTTTATTTTAACTTGATAATTGCTTTGAATATGTGCTTTCTGACATGTTAACTAGAGGAAGCAAACATTTCTTGCCAGAACTAGTA